CAGAGCTGGGGCTGGGCAAGCCCTTGGCACAGCAGGCAGGGAGCAGGCAGGTGGCTGCATGGAGAGGGGAACCCCCGTTCTCGCCCCGCTTTCACCCCGGCATCCCGCTGGGCTGTGGCTGGGGGGGGCCGCAGCAGCCCCGGACCCTGACAGGCGGCAAGACGGATGGCAGGGGCTGTGTACTCAGCTGTGGCCGCCCCACACATGGCCACCAGCTGACAGGGACAGGCTGGGGGGGGGAGAACCTGGTCCTGGGGCCCAGCCGAGCAGCCCTGGGGCGTTTCTGGGGGGGCATGGCCACACTTGAGGTGCTGGTGGCCTGTGCTGCTGTGGTGGAGGATGGCACACGTCAGGACATGGGCAGGGAAGGAGCTGCAGAGAGGGCTCGGTGTGGGTTGAGGGGCAGCGCGTGCGTGTGCACGCATGTGCATGGATGTGCAGCTCTACAAATTTATGTGCATCCATGCATGTATGGGCACGTGTGCATGGATGTGTATATCCATGCACGTGTGTGCACGAGTAATGTGAGTATGGGTGTGTGTACGCAGTTGCACACGTGTGTCTGTATGTGCCTGTGCATGCATGTTCACGCACGTGTGTGCTGGTGCACGCAGCAGGTCTGTGTGTGCAGGGTGCCACGTACACCCTGACTGCCACCCCCTCCTGCAGCAGAGAGCTTCCCAGGTTGGCACACGTGTGTGTGTGTGTGTGTATGTGACCTCTGCCCCTCCAGGTCCTGCACACGGGAGGATGGACGGACAGAAGGAGCTGGCAGTCCTGGCCAGGAGAGCAACGGGAGCCACGGGAAGCAGTGAATGCTGCCGGCTCCCTGCCTGTCCAGCCGCCAGCTGCCTGCGGATGCTGCTGCTGCTGGGGTGGGAGGACGCGCGGCAGCAGCCGGGTTTTCCTGTGCTGCCCCGCAGGCGTGTGGGACAGGACGTGCGTCCCCGTGCCCGGACCCCCCCCGGCCCCCCTGACACCGAGCGCCTTGGGTCTGAGTCAGCCGAGCAGCACAAGGCGCAGCCGGGGGCCGCGGCGTTGCAAACCTCCTGCCGGTCTCTGTGCCGCGCGGCCGACTTGAGCGAGTGCCAGGACGTGGTTGTGTTTGGCATCACGGCTCTCCCAGCTGATCCGGCCAAACAAACCGGCCGCCGGGCCGAGGGCTGCCGTCCCGGCAGAGCGGTGCTGTGCCACACAGCCCTGGGCATGGAGTGGGCAGCACCGGGTGGTGGCTCAGGCGTGCATGGTGGGCAAGGGGCGGATGGGACCCTGCACGGGACACGTGGCACAGAGGGGACATGGCCCGAGCTTGGGGTCACAGCCGTGACCCCAGCCCAACCTGCCAGGTACCCCCCAGCTGCAGGGTGGCCAGTGGGTGGGCATCGCTGGGGTCGGGGTGCTGCGCACCCCAAAGGCTGGGTCCTGCCTCCGCTGGCGGGGAAATGCCCCCTGCCCCCCCCGCTCTGGGGAGTGTTTATCTGTGAGGTGATACTTAAGTGTAAGAAAATAAACAGGGAGCAGATGGGCCAGGGGGCCAGGGCTGCCCCCAGCCCCGCGGGGCCGCTCTGGCCCTGCTGGGAAAACACCGCTGCCGGCGAGGCAAATGGTTTCCAGACCTGCGGCAACGCCGGCACATGTGGCCGCCAGGACGCTGGGCCTGACCCTGCTGAGCCCTGGCGAAGCAGCACCGGACTGACCCGACCCATCCCATTCCACCCCAACCCATCGTATCCCATCCCATCCCATCCCACCGAGACCCCCGAGGACGCTGCCTGGCCCCACTTGCCCGCGGCCCCCCACCCAGCCCCCTGGCGCAGGAGGATGTCCAGGACTGGCCCCTCTGCCCACAACTCCCCAATTTTGGGGCAGTTCAGGCCAGTGAGGCTGCAGTCCTGCGGAGGTGCCCCGTCGCAGGCAAGCTCAGGGAGCTCTGCCCTGGCCAGCCAGGTGCATGTAGCATCTGAGTCCAGCTGCTTCCCGCTGGGACAGGGTCTCATCCAAGGGGCAGTTGTCCCTGCTTGCCAACACAGGGAGACTGGGGCTGGCAAACCTGGGAGCCCCTGGAGACTCCCCTGGGTGGAGAGGAGCAGCAAAATGGGCTCAAAGGGACCGGGTGTTGTGAAACCTTTTAGGCAACAGGAGCGTTTCCCCGTGAGAGCTGCCCCTGTCCTGGGAGACGTCCCTGCCTGACCCCCCCGGGGCCAGGGCTGTGGCAGGGTGTCCCGGTGGGTCCCCAGGCAATGTGGGGAGCCCCAGGCCCCCTCCACCCGCCGGCCTGTACCTGCGGGCCGGGGCCGCTGGTCTGGAAGGCATTACACGCCTGTCGCACGGGGAAGTCTGTCCCAGTTCCGGAGACGGGACCCCCCCCACCCAGCCTGGGCCGGGGGGAGCCCACAAAGCGCCTTTGTTCCTGCCCTGGAACGAATGGATTGGAGGCAGCCTGGATCGGCTGTCAGCCGGCGACACCAGAGACCCCGCGGGTCAGGCAGAGGGAAAGGGGACAGGTGGAGGGATGGAGGGACAGACGGACAGAGCCGATGCAGAGATCGCTGGCTCTGACGAGACCCTCTCCTGTGCCAGCCGGGGCGTTGCGGCACTGGCAGCACTGGCTGGGGGTCAGCTCACGCTGCCCACACCGTGCCAGCCCTGGGGATGTGCCGGGATGTGCTGGTCAGCCCTGGAGATGCTTACACAGCCCCTTGGACACAGTGGCTGGTCCTGGCTCCTAGCCGGTGCCACCAAGCCCTGGGAGCAGTGTGACAGGGCACCTGCGGTGCTGGCACAGATGTCCTGGCACTGTTTGCAGGGGATGGGAAGCTGGAAGAGTGGATCCTACAGTGGGTCTCCCAGCTTGAAGAAGCCCCTGCAGGGTGCAGGGAGAGGGGGTTGCGGAATCCAGCAGCCTCGGCTCATCCCCGCTTGTGGGATCGCAGCTCTGCTGAGCTGTCTCACACCCAGCTCCCTTCATAAGCGACACAAACCCAGGGAGAGGGAGGTGAGCAGAGCCCACGGGAGATGCCCAACACTGTGGGCACAGCCCAGGGCCTGGGCAAAAACTAGTCCCTGCCACAGGGCACCTACTTGAGGGCACCCTGGTGATGTTGACGCTGCTGCAGGAGCTGCCACCTCCTCCCTTTCCCCCTGCCCCCACTCTCTAATAAGAGGAAACTTTTTAGCACGCCACAATTCTTCAGAGAAATTTATGGCCCATCAGGGAGCCGTGGGCCAGGGCTGCTCTCTCCGTGAACGCTTGCAGGGCTTCCTCCTGGCGGAGAGCGGCTTTGATGCGGCACATGCAGCTCTGCTGCGCCGGAGTCTCCCTCCGGCCCCTTCCCTCGCCTTCGTGAGGGAAGGGGCCGGAGGGAGGCTCCGGCAGAGCAGCCCCCAGCCCACCCTGCCCTTCCTCCCCTGTGGCTCCTGCGGAAACGCCGTGCTGGCAGGCAGCGGCAAAGCGTGCCCTGTCTAGTGGGCAGCACTGCCAGATCTGGCCGTGCATGCTGCCCTGCAGAGCTGCTGCCCAGGGGGGCCATGCCCTCCTCCCAAACCCTATCCCCTGCCCCCTTCTGCCCTAGGAAGGCAGGATCCATCCGGGGAGGAGCGTGGCTGAGGGGGCAGAGCGAGGACAGAAGTGTCTGGCCACGGTTCCTGTCCCAGTCCTGCTGCTGACTCACAGCGTGGTGGGGTGAGTCAGTGGCCTTTCCCCTCCCTGGACCGAGGTTGCCGACTCAGAGGGATGCCAAGATGCCTGGGGGATGCTCAAGGCGGTTTTTCCAGCCTGCACATAGGGTGAAGACGTGGCGTTTGCAGAAATGACAGCATCCCAGTGTGGCGGGACTGCATGCACTCCCACAGCTGACCCTGACTTCAGCTGCATGCCAGTGTGGTCTGGCAGAGCATCCATCCCCAGCTCAGTATCCATCCTGCAGCACAGCATCCATCCCCTCACAAACCCTCCATCCCCCAGCAAAGCATCTGTGCCCTCACAGAGCATCATCCCCAACACAGCATCCATCCCTGTCCTGTGTGCCCGCAGCCGCCCGCAGCCACCCGCTCTCACAGGTGTCAGGCCTCCAGGCTGTGCCATGCCGTGCCGTGCCGTTGCATGCCTGCTCCTGACCTCAGCATCCCTCAGCACCAGGCCCCAGAGCCGCGGGCGTTTGATCGCCTTTATTCCAGGTGCAGCAGTGAGTGCCCCCACCCTGCCATTTCGGAGGTGTCCCCCAAAGAGAGGGGGACCGCAGGATGTGTCCAGGGATGGAGGCAGGCAGTTCTGGGGCAGGCACAGCCCAGGGTCCTCCTGGTCCAGACACAGGGTGAGCCCAGAGTTGCTGGGGGAGGCCTGGGAACTGGCCATGCCCGGTTTGGCTGTGCCTTCTCCCGGTACGGCTGTGTCCTGGATTGCCTGTATCCCTTCCCAGTTCAGCTGTGCCCTGGATGGGCTGTGACCTGGCCCAGTTCCAGTATGTCCCGGTTCAGCCTGTCCTGGTTCAGCCGTTCCCAGTTCAGCCGTTCCCAGTTCAGCCCGTCCCAGTTCAGCTACTCCTGGTCCATCCTCTCCCGTCCCAGTCCATCCTGTCCCAGTTCAGCCCGTCCTGTCCCGGTTCAGCCCGTCCCAGTTCAACCATTCCTGGTCCATCCTGTCCTGTCCCAGTCCATCCTGTCCTGCCCCGGTTCATCCCGTCCTGCTTCAGCCATTCCTGGTCCATCCCGTCCCGTCCCAGTCCATCCCATCCTGGTTCAGCCTGTCCTGTCCCAGTTCAGCCCGTCCCGGTCGAGCTGTGCCCCAGTCCATCCTGTCCCATCCCGGTCCAGCCATTCTCGGTCCGTCCCATCCAGTCCCGGTCCATCCCATCCCATCCCGTCCCAGCCATTCCCGCTCCATCCCGCTCCATCCCGCCCCGCTCCCCGCGGCCGCTGGGGGCGGCTCAGCGCGGCACAACGGCGCCACCTGCCGGCCGCGCCGGGC